TACGCCGGAAATACTGGTAGTTTCCGGCGTATAAGATGACGTTCTAGGAATGCGGCTCAGCGATAAAGACGGAGGTCGTCTTATACACCGGGTCGCCTAATACGCCGGCATATAGGGTAATCTTTTTTGAGAATTTGAATTGTTTACTATTGCAGGTAGTCCATGACTTACAATCATTTATTTGGTGACCATTCAAAGTTATAATGTCACTGGAAAAATGTACAATGAGTCTTAATGCATACATCCAACATAGCATCCCGACAATCACATGATCAGAATTAGGTACTTGGTAACCATTTTCTAAAAAGCATAATGACCTGAAAACATTCCTTCACTCTATAGTACTTTTGTTTGAAGTTTGGTTCCTAAATGAAAAAAATTGCATTTTATTTTATGTTATTGTTTTATTTCAATCTTCTAGAGAATTAGCTATCCCATCCAATTTGTGTCATCTGAAAATTTGGTAAGCATTTCATTAATCACTTCAACCAGGTTATTAATAGGAATATTGATGAGTAGGACTGATCATTATGTTATGCCACTTGGCATCCCTTTTCAATTCGATATGAGTATGCTATATATGATTTTTTTTAGCCTACTACAAATCCAATGAATTGTCATGCTATCTAGATTTCATTAAAATCATGGAATACTTTGCTAAATTAGTTTGCTGAAATAAATAAATAAATAAACAAATAAACAAATGTGTATAGAGTCTATAGCACTCCTACAACATCCTATATCTCTTCCTTCTGGCTGCTATGCTCAGCCACTGAGCTTGCTCCTCTGTTTGATTTTTGAACACTGTTACAGAAAGTTGCTTACACTGTCAGTTTTTCTTGCAGAGCCTCCTTTCTTTGAACTAGTTAATCCTCATATTTTCTTATCAGTGTGGCACTGGCTGCTCCAATCCTTTGACAACTGTTTCAAGGACTGCAGATATATCTTCACTTCTGCTTCTTAAGTCACCACCAGTAGAAAGGCCTTTGTTGCTTCTTATTCCCTTCTCAGGGTGTTAAGTTAGCCAAGTGCAAACACGTTAAAAGAAAAAATGGGTTAGGGATCTTCATTTAACATCTCATGCCCCACTCCAATTCCCTGATGAAATCCTGTATGCTCTCTCTTCTCATTACACTCACTCTCTTTGGAAATTGTCATACAGGTGGCTCTTATCCCTTAAAATATTAGTTTATGATGCTTTGTTTTAAAGTAAATGGTTTTATGCTGCAAGCCATCTAGCACACAGTATCAGAGATTAGCAATGGGTGTTTGAAAAACCTCTTCAAATAAGCAGTTCATACTTCTTGAAAGAACAATCTGTCCTTGTCTGCTACATGTGAAGAGGAGAAGGAAAAAGAAGTAGGCTTTTCTTTTTCTTCTTTGAAAAACTTTCAAAGCCAGCAAATTCAATTCTAGTTCTTGCCTTTGCCAGTTTCTAGTTCTAGTCCTTATAGCTGCACCTGAGAGGGTTTTCAAACAATTACATCTTAGAGTCTTTACCTGAACTGAAAAGCTCTACCTACAGTCATTCACACCTCATTTGGATTACTGCAACGTACAGTCTGTGTGACTGCCTTTGAAAATCACTTGGAAACTTCACTAGATCAGAATACAGCAGCCCCATGTGAAGCTGCACTGATAGCCATTATTTTCTGGCTACAATTGAAGGTGCTGGTTGTCACCTATAAAGCCCTACATCACATGAGACCTGAAGGTCTTCAGGGGAGTCTACTCCAACTAGTTTCTGCCCATCCAATAAGATCTGAACAAAGCGTTCTCTTTGGGTCCTTTTACAGGGATACTGGGTACAAACCTATTATAACAACCCCACTCTTCAATCTCACATTTATGTACACCAGGAGATACCTATTAAGATTTTGGAAAACCTTTAAGACCTGATTTTCCAAAGGATTTTGACTATGGGAGAGAAGGCCTCTGCTGTGCTACAGTTTGATTCACCCTTTTAATGCAAAAAAAAAAATTGTTCATTATCTTCATTCTTCTTATTACTTTGTTATTTGGAAGTATATTTTTAATCCTTTTGCTGGAGAAGGTTTGTGAATTAGAATGGCACAGAAGACTTAGTAAAAAAATTTATCCACTTTTCATATGTAATTCTTTACCTAGCATTCCTAAGGAAACTTTGTCCTGAACAAAACAAAGCAAAATGTTATTTTATGTGCTTTATATAAACATAGGTATCATTAATAATAATTCTGTATTTCTTTTAAAAGCCCAGTTATTTAAATTTTGATATATATATATATATATATATATATATATATATATATATATATATATATATATATGGTAGCTGTTATAGGGCAGGGCTTGGGAAGCATTTATTCAAATTACTTTGCATCTCTTGTGATTTTTATCATAAAAACAAAGTAAACAAATACATGGAATAAAAGTACTTTGACCTACCTTGCTATTTTTGTTCATTAATTCTTGAAGCAGCTCTTCAAACTACCTTGCTTAAGGCAGACAAAACCTCTGGCTCTTTATGTTGAAGAAGAGAGAATATAGGGAGAGAATATAGGTTTATAATTACTGTTCATTTGTAAATTGTTATATTTCTTATTTGTTTCAGCTTTCCCTCACAATCGTGCTGTAAGTAATGTAGGTTATACTACCACTGTTTAAAACAAATCATCTCGTGATCGAAAATTGAAATAAATTGAAGTTTAGCACCAGATTTAGCACCACACATATGTGTTATAGGCACCCATATATGTATATAGATGTGGAGTAAGCAAGTAGGACAGAAACTAGCATATACATAATTCAGATCCTGAATACTGCTTATTCATAAATTGCTTGACTTCAACTCTAACAATATCAGCAATTTTAAAAATATATTATCTTCCTTATTGTTTAGAAAAAATAGCAACTTTATAATGTCATGTTCTGCATAAAAGAATAATTAAAATAAAACATACATTGTATGAGTTCACCGAGAAAGAACAGCATTCAATTGTAGGGATATTTATACTTCCTTAGACAGACTTCTATAGATTATAAATTAATACAAAAAAGTTGTGTATATATTTACAAAATAATCCATAGCTAAAATTACATTTATTTTTCCAACATGGAAAAAAAAAACCCATGTGACCAAAAAGAATGGTGTGAATTTCAGTTTAGTTGCTTATTTTCTACACAAATCCAGTAGTTTAGAAGCCAAAGAAACAGCACTGTAGATTTTTTACATTGTAGTACGAAGTATTGTAGTACAATACAATACATTGTAGTACAAAGTATTTTGTACACAGTATTGGTTTATTGTGCTAGTATCATAGCATCATTTTTCTGTCTACAGAATCCTCACATTTAATCCATTTATTTTTAGTTGCATGGACAGAAATGAAATGAATTATTTTTTAAAAAAATAATTAGCTGTTGATGCATACTGTACAATAGAAGTTCAAGCAGTCAAAATATTTTAAAATAACTTGTATTTACAATGTAGTAATTATATGTATATGCATAGTCATTGTGCACTCAGCTCATATTGGACTTATATGGGACTATAATGTTTAATATCAGATTATTGAATACTTAATATTAGATTCATGATCAATATGTTTGCTTATTCCTAAAGCAAACATATTGATTAAGAATCTAATAGGTAGATTCCAGCATCTATTATATTGTTGTATGCTAAGTAAAATGTTGATCTGATTTTATGGAAGATTATGTCTTTTTGCCTATTTTGCAATATTTTAATACTTTTTATCAAATTGTATTCAACTCTCCTATTATGAGTTATTAATGTTGTGTAAAATGTCTGCTAAATGGCTTGAGAACCTATTATCTGGGCTATTTGGTAGGGCTATATGGAGTATTTGAAAGAGACATTTTATAAAGCATTTAACAGTGAACAAAGCTTTTCTCTCCAAAGAATCCAAGAAGTCCTATGCAGTTTGCAAAGCCTCCTTAGCCGCTTTGAAGCATTCTTATGATCTGCATATTTAGGAGTGCACATGGTTACTTCGTCTTGCTGGCTGCTTTCTTCAAAGAGAGCTGCTTCATTTGCACTAACCATTTCTGTGAACCATAGGAAACCCTTCTATGTATGTTTCTGAAGTTACACAGCTGTTAGAGATTGTGAAGGCATTAAGCAGTTACAGGTGCTGGGCCAGAAGTCAGGAGAACATGAATTGTAATTCTGCCTTAGGCACAGAAGACAGCTGGGTGACTTCAGGCCTAGGAAGATGGAAGTGGCAAGCCATTTCTAAAAACGCTTACAAGAAAACTTCACGGATCTGTCCATGTATTTGCTTAAGAGTCAAAACTGACTTGAAGGCATGCACACGGGACAAGTGGCACTGCTAAACTAGGAACCTGTTTTATGGGAAGTTTAAGGAAATTGTTGAAATTGATACTGCTTAGCTCTGCAAACAATGACTCAGAGTCATTTTTCCTCTAACAAATATTACTTTTAAAAAATGAGTTTCTTTTGATCTTAGATTAGAAAGTCATAAAAATGATTTAAGATATACTACACATATCAAATAAGTGATGGTTGCAATTAGTTTGATAGGGGGTATGCTATTTTCTTTATTCGTGTCAGAAGCATCACAATTAAAAATAAGGCATAGTATACAGTATAAAATTTAAAATAAAAAATATAAGATTAAAATATATATAAGTTGAACAGATCTTGCCCAGAAACTAGCAACATTAATTGCATTGTTATGCTGCCATGAGGTCCTTAAGTATACACTGATCACGTAAAGATGTGTTGTTTTCTGCATTTCATCACAATTGCAAAGGGCAGAAGGATGACGATCAATAAAGGATGAATATACAGATGTTATTTACAAATGTTATTTATTTTACTAGGCTTCTATGCTGTGCTGTTCATGTCTGATTCTAGTAGCTTTCAGACTTCCTAGATCAGTAAGAACATTAAAATCTAAACGTAATCATAAATATATAATAAAACTCTTAGTAACATATGCTGGTGATCATTAAATGCTGTTTATTGTTGATAATACAGGTACGGCTAGCGACGCTGACAATTTAAAGCAACAGTTTCATCCATTTGATGCAACTTCGGCGAGCACCTTCTCTGAGACTGGTCTAAGAGGTCCACGGACGAAAGGCGCCACGGCGGAACCTCACGCAGCGCTGAGTCAGACGGACCGGCCTGTCCTGGGCGGAGCGTTCGGTAGTCCCGCTGCCTAGGCTCCGCCCCGCTACCATGGTAACGAGGAAGCGTCCTTTCCCGAGGGAGGCCGGCCATCGGGCAGGGGGGTTCCGGGCAGCTCCAGCCTGGCCGTTCGGCCCTTTCCCATCTTCTTCTCGAGTGGATTCGTATAAACTGAGGTACGTGTGCCGGCGCAGCATTTAGAGATGGGGTGGGTGTCTCTGCGCGTAAAGATACCGGAACTTGTTGGTCAGCAATGCTCCTCCGTTGCGCCCGAGGGAAGAAGGAGACGCTACGTAGACCCGCTATTTTACCTAACGGAGAAAAGAAAGCACTGCTGGAGGCGGGAGGGGGAGTATCGAGTGCAACGAGTATCTTCTCGTTACTTTGAGGATTCACATTCGCGGCCTTGAGGCAGCGGGAGGTGAGTAGGGAAAGCGACTCCTTCACGTGGATGCTGAACCCCTCTCGAAGGGCGGCATTCAGATACTGCAGGAGTTATGTTTCGGGATCGATGAGGCACGAGGCATCAGGTTGACCAACAACAACTATTTAGGTTTAAACAGAAGCCTAGTTAACTGCTGGTCCACCTCTATTTATACACTCAGCAATAGGCGGCAGCCAATAGGATTCAAGTATCTCTCCTGCTTAAACAGGAGTTAGTGAGCGTGGAGACAGAAAGTCTGGCTCCTAACACAGTCTTATGGTCGGTTTTTCAACAGTTCTCAATAATTCAACTCAATACATTATAGCAGGCACGCGTGGCAGCATTACAAACACGGACTTTTAGGAGTTTCCACGAAGGAGGTGGAAGTGCCAGTCTGTGACTGCGGCTCCTGAAGAAAACGCAATTTTCAGTTTCCTAACGGTTGATTCCCTGAATAAGGTTACTCGATCTGCCTGGGATTTTTCCAGCAGGGGCAGCAACGCCAGCTTTTCTTCTTCGTTATAGACTAGATGAGATAAAAATAGTCTTCCATTAAAATATCAATGAAAACAATCTACAATACGATAATATTCTATAACAAAGATAATGGAAGTACAATTTAATCATTGGAGGGACACTGCTAAAAAGATCATTACATTGTAAACCAAATTTATTAGGGAGATCTGGCTGTTTTTGTTTTATGTGGGGATTAAAGTTTATTGTAACATATAGTGGGTCCGAATAGCATTTTGAATAATATTTGATAATATGTTACCACTTTTGAGTACATTGTATATTTTGCCTATTTTGAGATTTTTACCTAGCTTTCATTTGACATCTTTTATTTTTCAATAAACTATATTATTAAAGTTCCTTCGTTAGACTATATTATTAAAGTATTCCTTTAATATTATAAAGTCTAATTGTTATCTTTTTCTATGCCAGTATTTCCATTTTAGTTTGAAACTGAATACATCATCATTTCTTTTATTTTGATTCTATCTCATGGCAAATATTCTGTTAAATGGACTTTTCCTATCAGAAAAATCTAATTATCCTGTGTCTTAATTAATATTGGGCAACTATAGTATCTGATGCCCATTGGGTGTAATAGAGCAATCGAGACAACTGATTTGGGGTTTAATTCCAATTTTCTTTCCTGGGAAATAACAGTAAAAGATACTTAAGTGCTGCAATACAATTATTTAAATCACTTAATTAAACTTATGTACAATAAACAAGTTTGATGCTATTGTATTTGATTCTCTGATGGAGAAAAGAAATGTGCTTTTTCCATCATCCTTTCTAGCCACCCATTTCTTCTAATTATTCCATTATTCCAGTGAAAAGAAGGATAGCTTTCGAGATACATGGTGAGTTCATAAATGAAGTCATGCAACCTCTCTATCTTATGCTTAAGCACTAAGAGAAAATTATATTTAGAGTAATCTGGGCAGGTGGATGGCCTATTTTTTTCTCTGTCTCTTGGTATGTAGACTAATGGCTTTCTTTCTCTAGCACGTGAGTTAAGAATAAAGCATGGTCAAGGGTGGAAACCACCAGTACTGATTTGCCTGGTGAGAAGGTTTTGGGCCAAGGTTTAGAGACCAAGCAGAGATTAGATAGACCATCTGTGTTGAAAAATAAGGCCAATCAGATATTAGTGGTTGGTAGAGGCTCTAGTATTGTGACACAAGAAGGAGGAATAGATGTATATGAAAGGGTAGTTTGTAGGACTGAATATGAAGTGGCCAGCTGAGTTGTCTTGCAATAATAAGTCTGATTGATTGGGGATTTGAAGGCTCTCTTTCAGCGGGAAAAGTGGGAAGGGCTGCTCAACCCCTGCAGGAGTGGACAAAAGAGAGTTACATCCTGGTAGAATTAATATGCTGATAATAGTTATAAATCCCCCCCCTTATAAGAGAGATGCTGTCAGTGTTCTATGTGGATGGCTGAAAGCAGTAAGGATCTGGATGAGAGACAATATTATTCTGAAGTTGATATTTGTACACTAGTGTTCCCCAATACTAGTGTTGTCTCTGGATGGGCAAGCGCTATCTGTAAAGAAGATTCTCAGGTTGGGGGTCCTTCTGAAATAATGGCTCCTACTTTAACAGCTAGTGGAGGTCACAATTAGACTGTTCTTTGTCCAGATTTTAGCGGTGTGCCTGCTGCAGTGTTGAATGAGAGACTGGACCTGAGAGTTCTAGTCATACCTTAGACATGAAAGCTGGGTGGATGACTTTGGGCCCAATTCACCTCACAACTTGTTGTTCTGAAAAAATATAAAGTGGGAGCATTATGTACATTCCCTTTAGTTGTATAAAAAATAATAACAAAAGGTGAGATATTATAGAGGTAAAGGTGATTAGCTTAATGACTGCAGATAGAACTGACATCGTACATTGGTATGGCGCTGTGATATTTCACTTTATAAATGTCACTCAGCAACTGTCGGGCATGAAAGGCCAAGTCCACACGCAAAAGTTCAATTAAATTGATTTATTGCTAAAAACCTTCTCAACTAACAGCCAGCACCTGATTAGAGCTAGATAAAGGTCAATGGCACCCAAGAGGAGTTGGACTTAGCTTACTTGTCACTACCCTAGGGATTCCAGGCTGATCTCTCTTTTCACTCCATCTCCATTGCTGCTATTCCTTCTTCTACAGCAATTAAGTTGTTGCTCCCAATTGCAGTCAGTTGTTGTTTTATTGTTAGTTGTGAAGTCGTGTCCGACCCATCGCGACCTGTCCTCTACCATCTTCTGGAGTCTATAAGAACTACCTATGATAATTTGTTAGCTGTTCAAGTTAGCCCAGATAAGAAGCATGAATATGAGTACACCATTAACTCTGTTTTAAGATTATAGTAATAGAATCTTGCAGTACTAAGTATTTTCCCCTTCCTTTCTTTTAATTCTCAAGAAAATTAGGGAGGGTCCCTTCTGAAATGCTTCCTGTGGCTACTCTCTTTCTGTGGGCTGAAAAATCTTTTACATGTGAGTTGTCTAGTTGGCAGCTCTTTCTTTCATCTCCCAAGGTCTTTCCACAACTCATTATAGCACATAATATAAATATAATGGTCCACGCACTGATTATCAATTTGATTCCAGGTACAATGTAAAATCCTGATTTTAACATATATAGCCTTTCATAACTTAACAGACATACTTGTAGGAATGTCTCCTCCAACCTGTATCAACCTAACTGACTAGAGCATTGTGGGAGAAAATCCTTATGATCCCACACTTCTGAACATGAGGAGACATAAGACCAGAAGGAACTTAGTGATATGTTGTGCTGGTATTTTGGAAGAATCTATCTGCATAGATCAGGATTGTTGTTCTTGTGGATGGCTTTCAGAATATATTGAAAAGGGGGGGGGTGGAAACCCCTATTTTCACCTACTACACTACTTCTCTTGCCATATGTTCACTTCTCTATTTCTCTCTTCTCTTTGTTTATATTTTAGTTTTACTATGGATGGTTTAATTTTTTTTCTTTTCATATGTAGTGTACTATTGGGAGTTGTGAGTATGCTGCAGGATATCAATTCAATTAATTGAATTAATAAAGAATCTTTTAATTGAAAAATAATAACAGCCAAGAAATGTTGCTGACCAGCTGCTGTATAATCCATTAGGATACCGAGCAAGAAGAATTGTCTAAATTACAATGGAAAATAAAATGGAAAGGGGAACAATGGCTGTGGCAGGAAGAGATAGGAACTGCAGGCATTCTCTAACTTCAGATACATTTGTGTTGGTTCTGGAACTTGCCTGGAATTTTCTCATTGGAGAAAGATTTACCAGTTCTGAACTAAATATATTATTAATTTTACATACATACATACATACATACATATTTTCCCATCATTTGAAACCACATTTTCCTTCTGATAAATTTTGTTCTATTTTAAAAATGAAATACTATAGCTTTCCTTACAATAGTTATGACAATTAGTGAATATCCCTTTGGAGTTTGTTGAGTTATATTTCTGCCTCTATTAAACGTTTGTGTCCTGAGGCCTGCCAACAGGATTTATAATACCTATATTAAACTAAATTTAAGAGTAAGGGTACTTCTGCTGCTAAGATGGTCAGATCACAGAGGTACAAAAAGAAGGAACTGGCAGCTGCAACTTTAACAGTACAAAGGATAAACTAAGTATGTTGGAAAAAGAGCACAGTATCATGTATAAAAATAAAGAAAATCCTTTTACCATTTATGACTTCCAAAATGACTGACAAGTCTACTTTGTTTTGCTGTACTGTTGATGTTATTCTGCTTAAAATAAATGCTGATTCAATTTCATACAAGACTAATAATACGTTATTATCGCAGGGCATTAATTGGTAATGTATACTGACTTATTAAATACTCTTATATTCACTGATTTTATCCATAATTTGTTATTTTTAGTAATGGGTACAATTTAAGTGCAGCTTTTCATCAGAATACTGTATACAAATAGACATTTTGTACCACAAATCATCTAAAATTTCCTTTATTTTGATCAATGACCATTGTAACAAAAAAACCCTAGACAAAAACAAAATACTGTAAGGCAACCCAGCAAATATTTTTTTAAAAAAAATACAAAACAAAAAATATTGAACTCTTAAAATTTGGACTTAATGTAATATACAAGTACTCCTTGTCTTATAACAATTTGTTTAGTGACTGTTCAAAGCTACAATGACACTGAAAAAAGTAACTTATAACTGTTTTTCACACTTACGACTGTTGAGGCATTACCATGGTCATGTGATCAAAATTCAGATGCTTGGCAATTGGTTCATATTTATGACGGTTGTCCTGGGGTCATGTGATCACCTTTTACAACCTTCTGACAAGCAAAATGAATGGGGAAGTCAAATTCACTTAACAACCATGTTATTAAATAACTGCAGTGATTTACTTAACAACTGTGGCAAGAAAGGTCATAAAATAAGGCAAAACTCACTTAACTACTGTCTCACTTAGCAACAAAAAGGTTGGGCTCAATTATGGTCAAAAGTTGAGGACCACCTTAGTATGGTAAAATAGACTATTATTAATCTTAGTAGATTAAATATTAAACTTAATAAAAAATCTTCCCAAAATTTATATTTTATAGTTTAACACTACCACCTTTCTTGTGATTTGAGAATAGCACAGTATTGCTGCTTGTATGTATTCCCTCCCCCTTGTCTGCTGTATTTCCTGTCCTTTGATTTTCATAATGGTTACTATACTTCTGTGTGCTCATGAAATAACATGGTCAATATAGACCTTTCATGCCCCATTATTCTGCAACACTTTCCCCAAATATTTGAAGGTCTTTACCTGCTCAATTTCCTTTTCTTCAGTGGTATATTTAAATCATCTTAATTAAGTAGTGACAAATTTAGTTCTTAAGTATTGACAAAATTGATTTTTTTTAAAAAAACTTATAACTTTAGTTCCTCACCATCATAATTCGAATTCTAATATAAAAAAGCTATATCTCTATATTCAACTTCCTAATATTATGAAAATGTTTCGCTTGTAGGATTACAGTGAAAACATGTTTTAATAAATTAATTGAGAGCAAGGGTGTCTGTTATTTAGGAATGTCAAATGGATCAGAGGCTAGTCAGAGGATGACTTTACATCTCCTTGTTTATATTATGCATCATTTATATCATTAGTCAAATTATGTTATTATATATGCATAGACTACCATCATATCTTGTCAGATGGAATTTAGGGTATCTTAATGTATGTTTGAATTATTTCAATCAGCAAATATTTTGAATGAATGTCTATGCAAACAGAACTATCTGATGCTAATTTCTGAAATATTCTATATTTATTTAGTTCAGAATGAGTATGTTTCCTCAAATACCTATACAAAGTCCCAAATCACATCCAAGTATGGAAGAGATGAGATGCACTTCACCGTCTCTTGCAAGGTATACATTTTTTTAAAAAAAATATTAGTTTTCTTTTCAATTTATTTATGATTCTTTGAAATTAAAACTCTAATAATAGAATAATTAGAATATATGGTAGTAACAATCTTGCTAAAACCTATGGTTGCAAATAAAAGTATATACTAATACTAAAAAAAATTAATATAGTAGCCAAGTCACAGGAAGAGTCTAAATTATGTATTCTGAATTAAAATTATTATATACATAAAGAATATACAAGAAAGGTAGGATCAAAAAAAGATTTTCATGTTTTAAAATTCAAAATGACATTTTGAAATTGCACTTTTTATGAATAGCTAGTAGTAATTAATAGTGCAGTGTATTATACTCTAGAGATTTAATTTAAATTTTCTATTTCTTCAGACAGCTGTTATTGGGGATACATTTTATTCCCTCACTTTATTTGTAAGTTCTCAGTTGCAACTGTTGTTAATTGTGCTCTTGTGATGAATTCTATAAAGCCCATTATTGTGAGAGTTGGGAGTATTTTGAAACTTTACACATATTACTTATAAGTATTAAAATCAGTTAATTGTTTTAGTATTGTATCAATTTTTGCATTGCATTAATGGGAAACCCATAGAACATCAAAAAATAATCCATATTTTTCAGTAGAGAGATTATATAAGCTTTTGTACTTTTCTTTGGAAATTAGAAGAATTGCTGATGTATATCAAGTTTGGACTTTTAAAAAAATGCTGTGTTGTATGTTTTATTTTATAAGATTACTAAAAGTAATGAATATTTATAGAAAGAATAGTTTCTCTAGGCATAGTTGTTCATAATGAGTAAGAAAGCGGAAATTTAACATGGCTCATTTTTGCTATATTTTGTCAGAATAAAGAAGCTTAATAGGGATGGATGGATGGATGGATGGATGGGAGTGAGGGAGGGAGAAATAATATATAGAATAAATACTATAAAACCTATTTCTAAATAAATATGTCTGAAATTCCTTACCAATTCCTTAACATTTTTCACCTCAAGGAAGCTATATTTGGACCCTTTTTGAATTGTAAGACCATGTAAATTCTGATTATACTGTATTAGTTTGGTATATTTCCATATGCATAGATCTATGCATAATGTTGTAATAACCTAATTATGCAGATCTGATGGCAAATAAAAACTGTTTTCCTTAATTTACCAACTTATGTTTGCATTACATACAGAAAAAGTGTCTCAGAAAATTAAAAATAACATAAAAATGGAAATGTCATACAGCATAAGTACATAGGTATTAACTAGAGGAATATTTAAATTAGGGTTATTTTTATTTTTATTTTATAAGATGCACAACAATATGACTTTATTGCTTTAAGTACACTTAACAGACAGCTGTAGTCTATTGAATATTTATGACTGAGATGCTTGCATTCATACATTTTTTTCATCTCTTATTCAGAAATTTACAGTAATATATTTATTGAATATTTGTATAAGCCCAGTGGTGGGATTCAGCCAATTCACACCACTTCAGCAGAACCAGTAGCTCATTTTTGTTGCCCAGCCCAGAATGGACTTCCGGAAGTGGCATCCACACAGAGAACCAGTTGTTCACATATTTGAATCCCTCCACTGTATAAACCTATGATTTTGTGTTATTTTGGGCTATATTTATAAAAACATTTTTATTTGCATTTATGTTTGAAGTACTATAGCCTCTCAAAGGCTTAGTATGGCTACTCTGAAGGCTTCATATGACTCTGAAATAGGATGGGCAAAAAACATTTGCTGCATCACCCACTGAGCTTCCATAGCTGAGGATTGAATTGCACTTGGGTGTCCCCAGGTCTTAGCAATGTGTAAGTTAACTATTTCTGTCCACAAAAGTTTGATGTTAGCATAGACCACAGGTCGGCAACCTGCGGCTCCGGAGCCGCAGCTCTTTGAGCTTCCCCTGTGGCTCCCAGCCTCCTCTGCCTTTGCAGAGAGAGACAGAGACAGAGAGAGGCAATTGCACTTCCCTGCTTCTCTCTCTCTCTCTCTCTCTCTCTCTCTCTCTCTGTATGTGTTGTGTGTGTGTGTGTGTGTGTGTGTGTGTGTGTGTAAAAGAGAGTGCACTCACAGTGTTCCCCGCAGAGCTGAAAAGCTTACTGGGCGGAGCTCCTCCCTTTGCTGCATCTCTGCAGGAAGCAGGAAGGGCAGGAGAGAGCTAGCTAGCCCAGCTAGGCTGACTCAGGAATTCTGGGAGTTGAAGTCCATGAGTCATAAAAGAGACGAGGTTGCCTACCCCTGAGCTTGTTGGACAACAGCTTGAAGCTTGCCAGGTGAGCAGCAGATGGGGGGGGGAGAAAGAAAGAGGGGGGGGGGAAGAGGAGTGGCAGACCAAGGGCAGATAGAGAGGGAGGGAGGGAGAGAGAGAGACAAAGAGAGAGAGACCCTTTTGACATCTAAAATGAAGATAACACTGCATATATCCTTTTTTTACCTTTGTGTGTATGTAATTTTATTCTCTTAAAGCATTCTCTTTGTGATCATTGTTTTAATAGTATGGATATTCCCAAGAGTCATATTTTTACTTTTATTTTTAATGTGTATATATACATATACATACATACATACATACATACATATATATATATACACACACACACATACACACACACATATACACACACAAACACACACACACACCTATAATAAAGGTAAAAAAGGATATATGCAGTGTTATCTTCATTTTAGATATCAAAAGGGTTTTGCGGCTCCCGGTGTTTTGTTTTTGGTGGGAAACCAGTCCAAGTGGTTCTTTGAGTGTTTTGGGTTGCCTACCCCTGGCATAGACCCTCTCAAAGGAAAATGCAATTTCATCTAGAGTGCGTAGATTACTTGATACCTTTTTCCTGAACTTGAGAATCACCCACCAAGGGAATATTCTATTAAGGTTTACACACATCTAATGCTACACAACTGTTCTACTTTGTAATTTGTCTAAGACAATATCCTTTTGCAGTTATTATTACAAAATTTCACTTAAGAAAGCAAATTCATTCCTGGACAAATGTAATAAGTTTTGCTAAGTGGACAACGAACATGGAAGCAGTGAATGTTTTTTTTTCTAAAGCTACATTTATTAATCTTCAAAAAATAAAGATTTGAGACAGATTTAGATGAAAAAAAATTATATTTATACATTTTTATAATATGTTTGAATTCATCAATTTCAATATATACCTGCCTTTCTCTGGGCAAGAGTTAGTTTTAGTTCCTAATAGGCAGAGCATATTGTAATATTAAGCCATCTTTCAATATTCTTTATTTTTTTAAAATTTAGGATGCATTTGATCAAAGGAAAAAATGCCATAGATCGTTACTTGGCTGTGCATATCAAAGGATTGTCAAAACAAGAGGCGGCTGCGTAAGTAAGATCTTTCTGAGAATTTTATACTACAACTTTATTATTTTCTTTGTTTCTAGTGTTATTCATTGATATTTGAAGTTCCTCAGGCAATTTTCAGAAGAACATAGCATTTAAAAATTAAAATTGATATTAAATAATTATGTTTCACACTATCTTGCATATATTAAAGACTGTGTTTGGTAAATGGTTTACTGAACCACGTACAGCACTTGATTATTAGCCATTAAAATATGTATTTTTCTTTCATGGATGTTTAGAAGTTGTTCAAGAATGAACTTGTATTTCCAAAACACCTCCTGATTGCAAAGTTGACTGTATAAAATTCACTGATCTAAAAACTTCTAAGAGAAGAATCATTTCATGCAATAGCAAAATAGATAATGTATTGTATAACATTTTAAAATTGTGTATTGTAACATTTTAGTGTTTATCGTTTTCAAAAGTGTTTCTTGTTTGCTTGTGCTATTGAAACTATAACAATAATTCATTTTCTGTTCAGAAATTGCTATTTTAGCCATTGATACTTTAAATATATGCAAAAGAAAGATCACTAAAAATTAAATATGGTTCTGTTTTTAAGCAGGCAAACCTGGAGCGACTATTTTTTAATAGTCTCTTTTCTTTTCATGGTATTATCTGCCTTATACACTCTGCCATTAATAATACCATTGCCTTGTTTTTAAAACAAGTTGGAGTTTGGGTACTCCTGAAAAACTTTCAAAAAGCTCTGGTTTGACATAATCAGTCATATAATAGAAAGCCATTTCTTTTGAGGATCATTTGGGGCTTGTAAGTTTTTTATGATTTCTATCAAGTCCAATACCAGAGCTTGAATGTATGCCTCTTTGGTTTCTGGAAAAATAACTTGCAAGGACCCATCAATAAACTATACAACTCTGGCCCTCTGCCTTTCCCCTCTTCCTTTTTTTGATAAGAAAATCTTTGATGGAGTCCCAAATGATTCCCTTTGATCATGCTTCAGGTTGCATATTATGGAGGACATAGGGCAAAAATGCTCTCTTATTTGAAAAATAAAAATCTTCAAAGCTTTTGATGAGAGATTGCTAAGGGTACCCCTGTGCTTATATCTGGACCACATTAGGATCAACTGTAGGCTTGATTATCTCTCTATACTTTTTGGTTTTGTGAACTGAGCCGATTGATATCTGACTCTAGTATAGTTTATTGGAAATTGAACAAAAATGGTAAATTCTTTGCCTTACTATAGCTTTGTAATCTTTATTTGTGGCATTTCCCCACTGTGGTAAATTCTTCCCTCAGTCTATCTCCTAACCTTGATCTTTGTCTCTGTTTCTCTCTCTACTCCCACCCATAGAGCTTCGGCTTCAGTTTTGTTCCTATAAGCCTTTTATTTATTTATTTATTTATTTATTTATTTATGAGACTTATATACAGCTTTAAGTACAAGCACTCTCTAAGCGGTGTACACCAGTAAGCAATGTATATATATATTTACATTGCCCCCAACAATCTGGGTCCTTATTTTACCTACCCCGGAAGGATGGAAGGCTGAGTCAACCTTGAGCCGGTGAGACTTGAACCGCTGACCTGCTGAACACAGTCAGCTAAAGTGGCCTGCAGTACTGCACTCTAACTGCTGCGCCACCTCGGCTTTTTTTCTTTCTGGATTACTATTTAGAATTTGTGTGTCCCACTTGCCCAATCCAGCTACTGTAGCAACATGCAACAATGATCACAGTGCTGAGAAAAGAATCCAATAGCAAAGTTGCCAACATGCCATCATTTTACTTTCACAATTCATAGGGTTTTCACATTGAAAAGACAAATTGCATCAAGGTAGCTGGAACATCTTTTGTAGGCTTCCAATCACAGCAGTGTCAGAAGAATAATTTGGGGTTCCAACATGAGCTGGGGTTTCATACCAAATGAATAATAGTATGAATAGTTCGTAATAATAGATTGTAGTTCTATAAGATCATGTCAGCCTTCATTGAAAAGATTTTGTGCAATAAAAATATTACAATTCATACATTTCTGCTTAGAAGCATTTAACTCAATGATACTTATTCTCAAGTAAATAATTATGGGATCACAAATTTAAAACTATCCCTGGTAACTTTAATGAAATGTTCAAAATCAACCTTTTTCTTTTTGCAAGTAAATTATTCAAATAAGAAATACATAGTTGTCTTCCCATATTTTGATGCAATGGAATAATAGATCTAATTATTTTTCAATATATCTTTGCTGATATATATTATATTCAGGAGCTGTGACTTCCATTTTTTAAAAACTTTCTCGACATTTTTCTTTTTAAAAAATGTCTTCACCCAGAACAGGTTACACAGTAGATGTGCAAAACATAACATCCATGTGAAATTGCAAATTCTATAAAATGAAGAAATCAAAAGTTAGTCTGAATAATCCTCTGTTTTTTGTGTTCAGTTTTTAGCTGCAAATCTGCATTCCCTTATTTGAAATTAATTGACATTGAATTTCTTTCTCAGGATGCCTGCATGGAATTAATCTATTAATGTGGATTAAACATTTGATAACTAGTCAACTAGGATCTGCTCCATAAATACATTGCATATCTTTATTCAGGAGCAAGTCTTATTGTCACACAAATGTACTTCTAAGATTGCAGTCTTACTTGTCTTTATCAAAATTACTGTCCCTATAGTCATCCAAGGTTCAGTGCTTTCTTAATTATATTTCACCTATTCCCAATGAATTAACATTTGCATCTTATTTCTGTACATTAGAGATATATAATAATCTACCCATGGCTGAATGAGTTCTGCCCAACCTTGGATGCTCTCAAAGTTTCTTCAAAAATTGCTCTTCTAATATCTGATATGACAGAAAGTGAAGAACATGTATGCTTTTTAGGAATAAACTAGTATCTTACTTTGTCTTTATTAGGTTATTTTTCCTCTATAAAGGGAAAATGATTTTTGAACTTCTATACATGCTTGGTACAATTTTGGCTACAAAAAAATCTATATTTACTTTGAATATATAGGATATTTTAATAACTCATTCAACTCACTGGTGAAATGATACTGTCTAGTAAAAAAAATACACATTATTATAAAAAATATATTATGATTTTTTAATGCCTTCCAATATTAATATTGTATATGGGTATATTATTATTTTAATATTTTTTTAGTGATCTTGCCTGTTCTGACTAAGATTCTGTGTTTCCGCTAACCAACATTCTTTGTGAGTTAATATCTCCTTCGAAACAGAGAAAGGAATACAGTTCTATTCAAAAACATGGACACAGTACTCTTTGGTATGATGTAATGTTCTTAAGAGAATGCTAAAGAATATGATTGTGGAGGAGATAAATAGTTTACTTTCTTTTAGAAAATATTCTATGCATTTTTGTAATATGGAATATTTTCTTTGAGAGATTAAAAAGTTCTAATCAACTTCAGTACATTATGTAGAAGTTCCATTTTCTAAACTCTGCAAAAGAAAGTTTCATATTTAATGGGAAATCATGAATAATTCCATTTATTATCTACTCCTTCCTTTCAAAGACATGATCTGGATAAAAGGCGGGGTGAATAATTTCAAAAAATGCAATACATTTTTAATGGGAAGGTGCAAACTACAGATTCTCATGACTATTAGCTAGTGTAGAGGAAACAGAATTTTACTTGCAAAAACTCATCAGATTCTGGGAAATATGAAATAAAAGTCATACTTTAGTAAAAAAGAATACTGAATGTTTACTTATTTACGTAAATTGTTTTACTAAGTTTAAGCCTATCGTTTTCTCCTTTCATTTTTCAATAGTTCATTGGTACTTGGCAGGGAATATAAAGACAAGTAAATAGAATACTAGGGAAAAGTTCATTGTGAAGTGATACTAAATACAAGTGGGAATTTGCTTAGTATGGAATTTATGGAGTAAATTTTCTGGGCTACACAGAAATTCTGCTTTTTAATCTTCTCCTGAATTCCTTTGGACTGATTTTTGCCCCACTGTATGTTACAAAAAGAATTCAACATGAAAATCTAAGAGGAACTGTCCTATTGGTGACTGTGTATGTAGTACTTTTTTTCCTGATGTTTGCCTTACATAGTACGATAGTCCAAAAGCTTCCCCTCTTTAAAAAAAACAATGGTCCATCTTTTAATATAACGTTGAATTTCAGTGAAAGCGGTTTTGCAGGCTGTATGGAAGAAGGTGTGGAGGAGTGAATCTGTTGCAGGACCAGATTTCTGTTTTCATAACACTGAATTTAGACCATAGACCCCTTATCCATTTTGTTTGCATGAGAGAATGTAAACAAGCACTTTTTCCTGAATTCAGATATCATAGAAAACTATAATTAGTTAAGCAGTTAATACCAAAACTGATATAACTGTTTCCTCAGTGACCAGAGAAATTTATTTCTGCATATGAACCAGGCCAATGAAGTATAATGCTTTCTTTCCAAAACCATAGTTTTTGAATTTTCTTTCTGAATTTCAAAGGGAGATTCCAATATAAAATTACTTAGAATTCATAATAGTTTTGGATTTAATTAAAATCATTGACTTCTTTTTGGAAGCATGATTAAACAACCACTGGGAGGATACCATCCTTAGTTTTAAACTATATTTTAAGCTATAAACTACATTTTCTAAATAAATTGCTAAATGAAACTATAAAAACATATACTTAGACTTTGCACTGAAATGTTTCAGAATAAAACTGTAATATTACATACAGTTATAGAGAATAAAATGCATTGGATTTGGTGGGATTTATTTTGTAGAGATAGGATTGCACTATGAATATTATTCCATATTTTTCACAATTTGTTCAGCATTTTGAAGATTTTCTGTCCCCAAAATGCTATTCTGTCTACCAGCCATCTGGTAAATAACATGTAAAATAAAATCTAGTACACAAAGGCTTATGTCACAATCAAACTTTATTTTTTTTTTCAATTTTAAAGAGTTACTGATTAGTAAATATGTTATTTAAAATTATAATTTTAATTATAATATAATAATATAATTAAATATATTTTGCTTGCATTGCAAACAGTAGATTGCTAAGAATATGCTTATGAAAGATTTCAATTTGGCACCTACATTTCAGTAGTAGTATTCTGCATTCACATGGTTACAAAAGCCAAAATAGGGTATAAGATATATTACTAATATTCATATTTATACATTATTTAATTTAAGCATCATTATCTTTTTTCTGAAACAAAGATTAAGCTAAGTAACCATTCAGGTTAATAAAAATATGTTTAAAAAATATTTTATTATGCAATATTTAGAATGAAAATAAAAAACAACTGGATTTACTCTATGCTGAATTCCTTACCATTTTACTATGTATCTTAAAACATAAAGACATTTCAACATTATTGCTAAAAGTTTCATTTTTTTCAATTTTATATTTGGTAAAAGTAAAAAAAAATGATTTTTAATATGAAATTGGTTGTTCACAATTACAATAAATACCCAATTAAGCAAATATCCAGTGTATGTTGTTATTAAAATATTTCATTACCTGATCAAACAGCTTATTACATTAAAAATATTTATTTTTAAAAATGCTTTAAGTAATACCGCTACCATTAGACATTAAATAAAATTTGAATAATGAATTTATTCTAATATTAAATTTATAGAAAGCACAGCTCTATATATTCTGCAACCTTAAGATCAATATACAAACACAACACTTATAAAGTTATGGATTTCTTAGTGCAAACTAAGAATTTTTCCAATTAAAGAATACTGCCAAATAGGTAGTTCCTGAAATATTGACCATTTAAGAATTTGAATAAATAATATGTTTTTATAATAGTTTTATCTTGTACTTTTCTGCAGTTACATAGGTACAGAAGCTTCAAACTTTATATCTAAAGATTTGGCCCAACTTTTTAAACTTAGAAAGTACAGTATTATCTTTTTATTGAAAAAGCTTACACATGTTGGCAAATATAAATAATTAAATTATACACATAGCTGAAGCAGGGGAAAAGAACAACATACAAATTGCAATTAAACAGAGAGACTAAATAGCAATGATTCTGTTTTGGTGGCGCATTTTTTTAAATAATGAACTCTGAAGAGACCAATATAAGATTGAGAGTCAATTTGGATTAGTGGTTAAGACACCAGGCTAGAATGTGGGAGATCATGGGTTCAAATCCTGCCTAGCCATGACAGCCTGCTGGGTGATTTTGGGCCAGTCTCTCAGCCCGACTCACCTTACGAGCTGTTGCTGTGGGGAAAATAGGAAGAGGAAACTGTATTGGATATGTTTGCTGCCTTGAGTTATTTGTAAAAATAATAAAGATGGGATACAAATAAATAAAATAAGTCAAGGGCTTATCAATATATAATGAAATTTTAGTTTGCACAACTGTAAGATCACCTGCATTAGACTGAGTTTAGACAGCATATTAACTATTTTCTTTGGGCAATAAATCAGTAGTTGGCCATCACAGCAAATATAGTAAGTTCTGTATGAGAATACCTACATTGTATGCAATGTGGCTTTATTATTATTATTTTTACATGTTTGCCATCCTCTCCATTCTGGAGGCCCACCAAGATTGTACAATAAACTGGAGTGGTTTCTTTATATATTTGCCTTAAACACCAAAATATCAATTAAAATGTATAATTATTTTCAGAGCAACTGTAATTTTGAAATTGCTATAACACTCATTTATCTAACATTTTAATAATGGATTCAGTCATTTTGAATTTAGTAGGAACGTCCTCAGGGAAATAATATTTGAGTATCAGACCCAATGTATGGAAACATATTTGTTTTTATTCAACAACTTTCATTTTATTTTTAGAATTGCTTAAATAGTGATATTTAACTGCAGTATTGCTATGTTTCCAGTAGAGGCCCCCAGAGGCCATTATAATTATTGAAAAACTGTTTTGGGAGACAATTTTGCCAACATTAATTTCATCAAATATTATTGATTTATAAAACATAATTTTAAAATTAATTTTCAAGTTTAGCTACATAGTATAACTAACAGGATATTATTGAACTTTGGAAATGAATGTTTACCAACAGGACCATAATAGGTTATGAGATTTTAACAATTTTGCACGTACCTTGTGGTATATTGCTTTATGAAGCATGGGAGAAACTCCTAAAAATGCGAGATTCTCAGTTTATGAGATCTAAAAATTGTACAATGCTCTTTTTCAATGAGCACAGAATTACCTTGCAGTGAGTTTAGGCTTTAATGGGATGCAAAACAAAACACCAGAGTTTCTGTATACTGGCTTCATTCACTTTGCATATCTCTAGCTCTTCAATGTATAGCCTCTGATCCTGATACATTAAACTTATAAAATCATAATTATGACTTGTTCGCTTTACAACTCAACATGGCTATAAAAATGGGGGAAGTTCACTGCAGAACAGCCTTCCCCACCAGATATATCTATTATGGGGTTCAATCACAAAATAATGCCCACTCCGTGTTTGTCTTTCATGCTTATTTTTGCATCTTTCTCTTTTATTTTGACTTCTAGTTTAACTTCTTGCCCTAGCTTGTACTATAAAAAATAATAATGGTTTGGTTCCTTGTAATCTATTCCATTTTACCAAAGTAAATAATTAATAGTATTTATATATGGTCTACAATTAATCATGAAAGTCGAATACAACAAATATGCTAAGTAACAGAAAAGAGTATAATTACATCAAATTATATTTACTTACAATACCAATTTCTTTGATATTTCTTACAGAATCCCCCACATCACAATAATTAAATATCTGTACAGGTAGTCCTCGAATTATATTCATTCATTTAGCAACCATTCAAAATTACAACGGCACTGAAAAAAGTGGCTTATGACTGGTCCTCCCTCTTAAAACTGTTACAGTTTTCCTGTAGTCGCCCAATCAAGATTTGGGCACTTGGCAGCAGGCATATATTTATGACAGTTGCTCTGCCCTGGGGTCACACAATCTCCATTTGCAACCTTACCAGCTGACTTCCAGCAAGCAAAGTCATTGAAGGAAGCCGGATTCACTTAATGACAGTACGATTCACTAAACATCTGGTGTGATTCACTTAATAGCCATGGCAAAAGGTGATAAAATTGGGTGTGATTCACTTAACAACCACCTGGCTTAACAATAGTAGCTTCAATCCCAGTTGCAGTCATAAGCCAATTGCTTATGGCTTCATTCTGTAATTCAAAATTACAGAGATATTAGGGAAAGGGGTTTTTTACACTTTACATTACATTACATTACACCTGTTTGAGTGGACTTCCAGAACTTTACAGCCCTTTTTTAAATCAATTACTACTGGCTGCTCAGTGTAATCCTACTTATTGCAATGGCCAATTTTTGCTTTGTTGTCTTTAAGGTCAGAAGCCAAATTTAGATTCAACAAGAGAAATATCCTGCAGCAGATTTTTTTTAATTGCGTCCAGTTTTTTACTTTTCTTTTGGTCATCTTTTAAACAATAACAAAAAAGGTTTTCTCTTTTCCATTTTGTTTTTCTTTTTATAGTTTGGTACATGACTGTAAATTGAATCAATACACTGAGAAATGAATGAAATGTTTTGTACCTCTATTATCTTTGATGAACTCACAGATGTGAGTATGCAGTCACATAGTGGTGTGATTGTCCTTCTCAGAAAAGTTGAATAATCATACTATCTAATCTTGCTGGAGTTAATATGCCTTCAAGCATATTTTTATAACTGAAGAGGCATCCTAGAAAATATACATCAGCAATTTTAGGTGTTGCTTTTTAATGAATTAATTCAGTTGACATTCCTATATGATTTCAATTATAGAAGACTTATAATATAATTTTTGGTAGAACTAGAGCTACTGTAGCTTTCTTTTGGTCTCTTTCAAAAACATCCTGGCATTTTTATTAAATAAAGAACTGGTTTAACAACCACTGTGTTACCTTTTAATCATATTTGCATGTTTAATCATTTTTGTATATTGTGTGAGTTTTTTAGGAAGAAATTATCAAGAATGAAAAAATTAAAACCAGCTTTTTCAAATCCCCAGTTACCGGAATTCATACAAGAAGAACATCTGCCTAGACATGCTGCAGCAGGGTTATCACAAGTCTTTTGCTGAGCTCTTTACTCTGATAGAGCAGTGGAATGCCTTGAGGGAGGCTTCAGGGCCTGGGTCAGCCATATGGCTGGAAAAATCCCTCGAGGAGCAGCCTGATAAGCTGGATCAGCTTCACTGTTTCCTGACCAGAGCTGAGGCAGCCCAGCAATCAGGTAAATAGGGGAATTCTGGGTAATGGAGCAGCAATGTGTGCCTCAGGGAAGATTTCAGTTTGAGACTCTTCTGGAAATAGCATTTTTCAGCTTTAGTCAGCTAAGCTGTATTTTTGGAGTAAATGATGGGGAATTCGAAATGATGAATCCCAACGCAGGAATGAAACATTCTGCTAACAAGATGAATCTCTGTAATGAAGTGATTAGGATGCTTTCGATGTATTCATGCTATCATCAATTATCACTTTTCTTGAAAAGTCATTGTTTAAGATATTGCTTTTTAAAATTTAAAACATAATTTTCAGAAAAATATAGTAGCTTTTCAAATTTATTTCTTATACATTGCATGTATTTCTTTATTCTTTGAAATGTAAATTCTTAACATGTTTCATTTAAGTTGTAATCTTCATAATCATGTCATTGAATAGTGCTTTTCAGGCAGCATGGCTGTATATTGGTACACACCTTTAAATATCCTAATTTTAACAAAATATAATTCATGTTGATGTGCTGAAATAGGAGCCATAAGATAGGAAAATATGAGACTAGATGAATAACTGAAAAAACACATCAGGACTGCTTAACAGAGAAAGATGAAGAAAGAAACCTCACATTCTGAAAAAGATAATATGATTATCAGTTCTGAAATTAAAATATATAATGAATGACTAACGTTAAGACTTCAAATGAGAAAGAGAAAAGTAGATTGCCTACTTCTGGTGTAAGGAATAGATAGGACATAAGGCTAGTTATCGTATGGTACCAGGAACCCCATAGAAACTATACTGTATAGGCAGGTTTTGCAAATTAATGTCAAATAGTTATTATTTTAACTATAAAGCTAAATTCTGAATTTAAATAATATATAAACCAGCTACATTTTTTAATAATATTTTATTAGTTTTCTAATTTTACAATTAAACACTTTAAAAGCAACATAGTGGCTAGGTAATCAATAATTCCATAACATACATAAATCTTTGGCACAAATCCCAAGTTACATTATCAGATATTTCCTCTCTTTTTCCCTTAATATCTACTATCTCATAGTGAATTAATATAATTCTTATTGTTATCAACTAAGTAAAATCATTTTTGTTACATTTATCAATATTTTTAACTTATACATATCTTAATTATGTATATATACATTAATGCATATACATCAGTGTCCTGTTATTGCTTTTTTCCCAGGCTTTAATTTCCCCTCAATATTCAACTTAACATTTGGTATGTTATAATTTCCAAACTTTAGGTGACCAGAGTTTCCCTTAACTCAACTTTTACATTTTCCCCTTTTTATAACAAAATCTAATATTCTAAATACACATCTATTTGCATATAATCTTATTCAGTGCTTTTTTTGTAAAAAAAAAAAAGTGTCAGAACTCACACCCATCATACAACCCGCCTTGCCTACCCTACCCTACAAGGTTCCATCCAAAAAAGGTGCCGGAATTCCGTTCTGGGCATTCTATGACAAAAAAAGCCCTGATCTTATTCTATTTTCTAAAAATTATCTATTTTTCACCATGTTAAACCGAAAATCTATTAGTCTTATTACACATCTTACCTATTCAATTATAATATTATTTTATTTTCTAAAAAAATATCTATGTTCCACCATATTCAACCCTCTAATCAATAGCATAGAATCCCCTCTAATAAATCAAAACCCTAGAGAAACCAGCTACATTTCTGAAGCCAGAAAAGACTTACATATATCTGAATGAAAGACACAATTTAATTTGTTTCTCAATTTCTAGTATGGCACCCAGACTTGGGCTGCAAAGAAAAAAGAAAAAATACAGACAACCACTTAGGCTATAAAGAAGAAATACAGAAACCATAGCTTTTCACTGCAATTTAATGATTGTTTAGGTTTTTGCAATCTAGCTAAGTGTATGTAATTTGATATTCTGTAATTTGCAAACTTTTAGTTTCCCCAATGATTTTCCCAGGTGATTATGAAATATATAGAAGCGAAAGACCAAATTCTTTTAAGAAAACTTTTATCTAAGTTATACCATCTCAGACTAAAGGCAGAGGATCAAACAAAGAGTAACACTAAATGTATTTTAATTAAACATATCTATATACTACTGAAACACTCATTGTCATGACCTCTAACTGGGCAAGACAGTGCATCATAGGGCAATAATTTTTGAACCAAGATACCTCAAATGGGCTAACCTACAGAATGAGCCCAAAATCTGGGACCCATGATGCCCAAGGGAATAAAATTTGGAAAAGTTATGGCTGTTTCAAGTGCTGTCCTTATCAGACTGCTGCTGCTGCATGTGATGCTCATTCTGAATGTTGCATGACAGTTTACCACCCACTATTGCAATTCCTCACTGTCCCCCATCCAGCAGCCAGGAACTGATGCATTATGTGACTCTTAAAAAAACACACAACTCTAAGGTGCATGAAGAAAGGCCTGGATATTTTTATTGCACCTTCTTCTCTGGTGCAAAAACATGCACATGCCTATATAGCCCATCTCATGATATATGTATGCATTGTACTCCACTCTCCTGTATCTCTTCACACCAACCCTGGGAAGTAGTTGGGCTGAAAGTCAACGAGTGAATTGCTATAACTGCAGATGGAGTAGAAACTGTATTTCTCTGGTCAAAAATATTTGCCACTATATCTTAGTCCTTTCCCTTCCTCTTTCAATTTACAACTGCTGCCTGCTTTGAAACTAAGCATAGATAAGCCCCTACTTTGATTGTCAGAGATCAAATAGACCAGTCCTGCTGTCATTCTATTTCTAAACTGTCACTGACAGTTTCCTATAAGTCAATGGAGAAGTCAGTGGGGATTCTAAATATCAGTGTAATTATGTCATGTGGGGGCATCATGGTCAAGAGATAACACCCAACTTATGTGGCCCATGTCTCCAGAATCACAAGAAAAAGAACAGAATGAGGAGATGAGAAAAAATGAAGCTGGAAAGAGAAGATCAAGGGAAAGGCAAGAATACGCGGCAAGCACAAATTATCATGAGAGTTTCTCAACATAATAATAACCGCCTTTAACAAAAGAAACGTATGTGCAAGTCATGCATTTTGCCTCAACATTGCCTTTCTCTCAACAGAAAAATGAGGCAAAATGCATGATTTGCACAACATAAAATTTCTGATATTGGTGCAATGGCCAAAGTTTGCCCCCACTGTCTTGCGTTTCTATTCCCTAAAGAAACCGCTAATTTCTGCTATATGGAAAGATTAGGATACGCAATTTGCAATTGCCTCTGCCTAATGTACTCCTCAGTTTATGTAACAATGATGAACTATTGCAAATGGGTTCAGGAAGAATATCAGACGGTACAAGTGGTGCTTTCAAATAGCATCCTTTGGAGCCAAAAAAAGTCCTCCTAATGAGGAATGGATGGAATTCTTCTGTGATTATTCAAGAGCAAATTCATCATTGCATCAGACACCAGATCCCAACCAGCAAGCCAAATATATTCATATTATTCATATTTATTTCGTGGATTCTCAAGATAAAAGGAGGGAGCAAGGGAGGGGAGGGAGGGAGGGAAGGAAGGATTTCTGATACTTCTGCCAGCTTCCTACAAGGAACTCAGTGGGGAAGCAGGCAGGAGGTCAGAAGTTGTTACCATCTTCAAAGTCTTATATGGTTCTTATGTAAGAGTAGTCTTATATGGTCTTAATTAAGGGAGCCTCTCTCAAGAAGGCATTGAAGACTTAGCCAAACAGTAGGCCACAGTCTAGAAAGGGATAGCAACTGATACCTATATTTTATTAGGACGTTACCCCCCCCCCACTTCCAACTCTAGATTATCATTCTCTCAGCTTAAAAACACTAAATTAAAACCTTGGAATTTGCTAATTGTCTAACACAAAAAGTTTCAGTACTGTCTTCCAGAAAACACTGAAAAACCCTCTAGTTAGGAAAGTTATTCTTGCCTACGCAAAATCTTTGTGGTATGGCCAGCAGCAACAGGGAGTAACCAGATAAGAGGAGGCTCCTGCAGGCTACCTGGGCTACTTCTCTTTTTTCAGTTGCATTTGGTTCTTGAAAAGTGGGGTGGAGGGAGTAAAGTCTGTTTGAGCCAACACAATTTTACATTTATTTTCTTCCAATAGTTATTCTACATTTAAGGTAAGTAGGACCTGCCTTCAGTGTGGTAATGTTACATCGGAGATGGTGCCTAAAGATGTTTGAGGAAAGGACAACCTATTTAGTATCTAAATTCTTGGATTTTTAAAATTGTTTTACTACTGTTAGCTCAGAGGATAGTGTAGCTATAACATCTGTGGTGCTATATGCTGACCCTTGGCATTACATGCCATTAAGTTCCTAGAAATATTTTCCCAGTTTACCCAAATATTTTCAGTTTGAACATAGTTTCATTTTGTACTACTGTGGTACATGATGGTTTAAGGTATATCTGCAGAACTATAAAACTGTTCAAGGTACGTATTTGGTTCATCATTGTTGTAATGTTGTAATTCAAGGTATTTAATTATAAAATGATTGGGGATTGAAATTCATGTAATTGCATAGATTATTGAAGAAATTGATTCTAGCTAATATATCTATTAAGTTAAACTACAATAATTTTAAATGCAATAAGGCCAATGCTGCCTGAAAACAAAAATGTTTCTGAGATTTCTATATTTTAAAATAGAGTCATTTTAAAAGAGAATGTTTTAACATTTCTTTGCTTTATTCATGTGATTCCAGCCCACTTGGCCAGTTTGTGTCCAAAACAATTATATTGAAATGGTTGTCTTGTTGCACTGCTTATTCTTATTCACTGAGTGGGTAGACACTAGAATAGTATAGGGTCACATTAAAGTTCATTCAATCCAGACTGCGACAGTAACACTAACCAGCGTCAGGTCACTTTCATCTCTTGAGAATTGTAGGGTACTTACCTCAAGTTATTTACATAATTTTACTGAAGTTTATTGCTTTGCTATTCAGTAAGAAAGAAAGAATAATTTTAATCTCTGAATCATGCTTTCTTCAAATTAGAAATACTCCTTTTTTATCTTTTCTTCTTTTATCTGTTTCCAAATAATACCGTTATAACATCACTTAACATCTTTTTCTGCTGCATGTGCTTGGTGAATAACTATAAGGACTGAAACTATAATGTGGAATGCACTATATAATATTAAAAACCATGCTTATATATATGCATGAGTTTTCTTTTTTCTAAAATTGGTTTGTGGTGGCACCATTTGATCTAGTATTTAGTGTTGTTGACAGATCTTAAGGTTTCGATAATTCCTTGGAACATTTGCCAACTGTATATGCTATTAAGAGAGATAGCCTTAATATCTATTTCTGTATGTTTTTCATATCAGCTTCAGTTCATAACTATTTGATTTCTCTTCTAAGTAATAAAGTTGATGGAGATTATTTCTGTAGACGAAAAAATAGCAATTCAGATTGAACCATTTTTCTATTAACAAATCAAAAACTGCAGTAGATTGCAAAAAGTACCAAGAAGAGCATATGAAGATAGATAAGCATGAGATCTCCTAAATGCAAAAGAAAAAAAATATGTGAGAAGATAGAGCAAAGAAATGTTTAATTTAAACAATATGTTCTATTGTGGTAATCACACATTTCTTGTGATCGTATTTTAAATACTGATGTGTAACCAACTAAACCTGAAAATAGGTGAGATGACATTATAGACTTCTGAATAAATAGCTCAGGAATTTGTTTCAACATCAGGTTTGAGTTAAATACTTGCTGCACCTAAATCTGTTTTGGGACTGGATATAGTTTTACTGTTGTTGCTCCTACAAATGAGGAAATCATCCAGAGAGCTAGTAGATGTTGAGCTAACTCCTTCCTATTTATGCTGTAGATTAATAAACCAGAATGAGGTGTTGGTGAAGTGGGATACTAAAAATAATATTGGTCATACCACCTAATCAATTGTAACAAGTGTATGAGACAAGGAAACATCAATTAGGAACAGGAATGATGATATGTTAATTAATAGTGTAAATAGAGAAGCAACACATAAGGTATTTTGAAATATATATGAGTAAATGTGTTTTTATAGAAATCTGTGCATATGCAATGCTGCTTATATACAATATGTACTGCCCCAAATAGCATTGTATATAGCTATAATTTTATAGTATGACAAAACCTAAATAAAAACAAAAATTATACAGCTTTTTTAATATTATTAAGATATAATCATTTTCTTTTCATTGAAGAAAACTATGAAGAGGTTTATTCTAATCAACTAAACTTAGCCTATTGCTTCAACAAGCTTGAAGACAGATGGTTAAGGAATTATTTCTATGAACAATGTTACAAAACTGCTCAACTAATTAAAATTGATGGTGGGAAGAAAGAAGCTGAAGCACACTCTAATATGGGCCTTGTTTATGAAGAACAAGGTATGTATAGATTTTATCATGTAGTTAAAAATTATGATCACCATCTCCAGAAATCTATTCATATAGATTTAACATGTACCATAAGAATATAGCATTAGCTCAAACTAACTAGCTTGATGTACTAAAAATAAAATTCTAGCATTTTGGGTTTACTAAAAACCTTTATATACTTGTTTAGTGATTGCCTTGTTTAACAACCATTCATAGTTATAGCAGTGATGAAAAAGTAACTTTGCAGGCAATTGTTGCATTTATGATCTTTGCAGGTTTATATAGCAAAGAAAAGCTGAAGTAAGATCATAACCACAATCACCATTTTGCTTAGCAACTATTTCAATTAACAACTGAGTTGCAGGTCCAATTGTGGTTGCTAAAAAAAGGACTATCTGTATTTATAGAGATGCAGATGTTTGCTCCATGAGAAATTCATGATATAGAATTAAACACTGCTTCACATTCTAATTGTGCCATAGAAGAATTAAGACATACACAATTGTTACCCTCCATTTTTTATTCTTTAAGCATAATTATGTTTTATAAGAACTCACTATACTGATTTTATTGTTGTGCTTTATCAATGGTATTTATAATTAGAAAATTCTACCAGTAGATATGTAAATAATAATGGAATATAAAGCAATGTGAGATATTGCATTGGTTTGCTTTTTTAAAAATGTGGAATATTTTTATTAATCTTTTTAAATCTTCAATAGTTGTGCAGTCCTAAAATACAGCTGTTCATTCATTTATACCACTACTTATATGTTGATAGTGGGTAGAACATAGATTTCTTGCTCTTTTCTTATTCACAAAATTTTTCCCATTTTAGCATCTGAGTCTCTTTTCTGAACACATTGAGATCCCATAATTCCCTTCCCTACTGCGCCAGAGTTTGGTATTGTGAGTGCTGAAGAGTGTGCAGAAAGATGTATTGTGTTCAACAGTTGTATAAATGAATAGTTGAAAGCAAGAAGGCAAATCAGCCAGCAAACTGTCATGTAAATCTCATGGAATAAGCTAAAGATTGTATGTGGTTCTTTTTTAAAATAACATTTTTATTAAAAGCTTTAAGTAATTTTTTTTCTTCCATTCAATTATGACCATTCTCAGAGATTGCCTGGACAAATTTTTGCAGTTTTCTTTGCAAGGTTTTCAGAAGGGGTTTGCTTCCTTCCTAGGACTGACAGAAAGCGACTGTCCCAACATCGTCCAACTGGCTTTGGAGTACCTATAGTGGGACTAGAACTCACAGTATCCCAGTTTCTAGCCTGTTGCCTCAACCACTACACCAAATTGGCTCTCTAATGGCCTGGACTAGGGTTTTTCAAATTGTGTTCCTTTGAACCCAAGGGTTCTGCAAAAACCTGATGGGGTTCCATGACAAACTACGGGGAAAGTCTAATGAATAATCCATTGTAGCTATTTTACACAACTAATGCACTAAATCTTTTGGTATTATCAACTTGTTGTATTTTAATATCTAATAACTTTTGTTGTTGTTAATTGCGAAGTTGTGTCCGACCCATCGCGCCCCCATGGACAATGTTCCTCCAGGTCTTCCTGTCCTCTACCATCTTCTGGAGTCCATTTAAGTTCACACCTACTGCTTCAGTGACTCCATCCAGCCATCTCATTCTCTGTCGTCCCGTTCTTCTATTACCCTCAATCTTTCCCAGCATTAGGCCCTTCTCCAGTGAGTCCTTCCTTCTCATTAGGTGGCCAAAGTATTTGAGTTTCAGTTTCAGGATCTGGCCTTCTAAAGAACAGTCGGGGTTGATCTCTTCTAGGACTGACCGGTTTGAACGCCTTGCAGTCCAAGGGACTCGCAGGAGTCTTCTCCAGCACCATAGTTCAAAGGCCTCAATTCTTTGGCGCTCAGCCTTTCTTATGGTCCAACTTTCACAGCCATACATTGCAACTGGGAAAACCATGGCCTGGACTATACGCACTTTTGTTGGCAGGGTGATGTCTCTGCTTTTTAGTATGCTGTCTAGATTTGCCATAGCTTTCCTCCCCAGGAGCAAGCGTCTTTTAATTTCTTGGCTGTAGTCCCCATCTGAGGTGATCTTGGAGCCCAGAAAGATAAAATCTGTCACTACCTCCATTTCTTCCCCATCTATTTGCCAGGAATTGAGAGGGCCGGATGCCATGATTTTGGTTTTCTTAATGTTGAGTTTCAAGCCAACTTTTGCACTCTCCTTCTTCACCCGCATCAAGAGGCTCTTTAGTTCCTCTTCACTAATAACTTTAGACCTTCATAATTTAAGGACTAATATTATATTACAGCTTAGGCCAGTGATGGTGAACCTTTTAGAGCCCGAGTGCCCAAACTGCAACCCAAAACCCACTTATGCATCGTTGGGTGCCGGGTGGGTGTGGTCCATTGGGGGGGGTTTGGCCCATTGCGTGTGGCTGCGGTGGTAACAGCAGACTGGGTGGGACTAAAAAGTTCAATCAATTCCAACTTTGCAAGATCTTTTTTTTCCCGCGAGAAGTTGAAATTGACTGATTGAACCTTTGCCAAGAAAATTTCAGGAACTTATCCAGGTAATCTCTGAGAATCAGACACAATTTAATAGAAAATGAATGTTTAGGCCATTATCTTCTGTAGTTCCCTATCTTAGTATATATATTTGGAATCTGATGGAAAATGAGATGACATCAGGATATCATTGATGAGTTTCATCACTCCAAAATAATTTATACTAATCGTTTTATTCAGCTGCCTAAAAGTGATACAGATAGACTAAGGTTAATATATAGTATATGATCCTAAATAGTACTCTCCAATTCTTTATCCATACAGTATTTCTAACTTTGCTCTAATGCTGCTATTCCATGACCACTGGGAAGCAACCATAATTTTAAAACAGAACTGAATAGCAGAATAATTCAAAGTCTTATTGTAAAATTTAGTTTATCTCTGCCTACAAAGAATTTTATTCCCTTAAAAATATACAGTTACATTATATTTTATTGATTGATAAAAGTATTAAACCAGCAGTATATGAACTGATTGCATGTTTCTCTATTTGTAACTTCAGTTTTTTTTTAATTTATAAGTAGATTTGTATGGTATATCATAATACAAGACAAAATTACATGCAGATTACAATTCGCAAGGATATAAAAATGATTAGATATGCAAATCCTACCTCTTTGTACTTATGTGCAATGTTACGTGGTTTGTGTTGCAACCTCACCACACATGTTTTGTTTTGTCATTTCCCCACTTGCCTGACTACAAATATCTATTTGTATTACTCTTAATCCTGTTAAAATATAAAAAGGTAATGGTTTCCCCTGTCCAGTTGTGTCTGACTCTAGGGGGCGATGCTCATCTCTGTTTCTTAGCCGAAGGAGCCAGCATTGTCAGAAGATGCTTCTATGAGCAACATGTGGCCAGTATGACTATATGTTGAGGTGCACGGAATCCTGTTACCTTCCCATTGAAGTAGTACCTATTTATCTACCTGCATTTGCTTGCTGTCTAAGTGCTAGGTGGGCAGCAGCTGGGGCAAGAATGGGAGCTTACACTGTTACACGGTACTTGGGTTTTGAACTGCCAACCTCCCAGTCAACAAGCCCAAGGTCTTAACCACTAGGTCACCCCTGCCCCCATGTTAAAATATACACTTGTATAATAAGAGCTAAACAACTTATGATTGGGCATTCTTTTACATTTTCCTCCTTTTTAAAATTATATATGTCTAGTTTAAATATTTAGAAAATGAAGAAAACATTACTTTCAGTTGCAAAAATCTTTCATTTTCATTATTTTAAATAAATGTCTATTAACTGAAAAGCAAGTATAACAAAATAGTATAATGTATGATTTTGCAGTTTTCTGGTCACTTATTAAAAATATTGATAATAATTTGTATTTATTTTTTATTCCATTATTTTTATGTCAGTTCAAATAGTTGAAAACAATCCAAAATAATTCACAATGTGTTGAGTTAAATCTTGATTCATCTGGATTTAATATATTATAATTCAAATTTATTGATCATCCAATTATAGAGAATAGGAAAGCGAACTGGCAAGACCCCCCCCCCACACACACACACACACCCTTATAGCTTTCTGGAAGACCATCAAGATCTGGCTCTTTACCCAGAAACTGGGATAGAGTAATGAGAGCCTATGGATGGTTATTAGGGCACCCTAGGAGATGACTAAGATGTTGGGTTTTTTAGTTCTTAACTTTAGTTTTCATAATTTTATGGTTTTATGGTTGGTAGTTTTATTGTTGTTGTAAGCCAACTGGAGTTGTGTTCTAAGGCAGCCATATAAATCTAGCAATCAATCAATACTATATTAACTATTTAGTAATAGTAGTAAAGTTGGAAGGGACCTTGGAGGTCATCTAGTCCAACCCCCTGCTCAGGCAGGAAACCCTACACCATTTCGGACAAATGGCTGTCCAGTCTCTTCTTAAAAACTTCCAGTGTTGGAGCATTTACTGCTTCTGGAGGCAGGCTGTTCCACTGATTAATTGTTCTCACTGTCAGGAAGTTTCTCCTTAGTTCTAGGTTGCTTCTCTCCTTGATTAGTTTCCACCCGTTGCTTCTTGTCCTGCCTTCAGGTGCTTTGGAAAATAGCTTAATTCCCTCTTCTTTATGGCAGCCCCTGAGATATTGGAATACTGCTATCATGTCCCCCCTTGTCCTTCTCTTCGTTAAACTAGACATACCCAATTCTAGCAACCGTTCCTTATATGTTTTAGCCTCCAGTCCCCTAATCATCTTTGTTGCTCTTCTCTGTACTCTTTCTAAAGTCTCAACATCTTTTTTACATCGTGGTGACCAAAACTGGATGCAGTATTCCAAGTGTGGCCTTATCAAGGCATTGAAGAGTGGTATTAATACTTCACGTGATCTTGATTCTATCCCTCTGTTAATGCAGCCTAGCACTGTGTTGGCCTTTTTGGCAGCTGCAGCACACTGATGGCTCATATTTAAGTGATTGTCTACTAGGACTCCGAGGTCCCTCTCACA